AATGGTCTTCTTGATTTTTAAACAAAAAGGCGAAAAGTGGCGGGACAACCAAAAAGCTAATCATCCAAGGTGCTATTTCACTATAATTGGTTTATAGTTGCTCCATTTATATATAAATTAATCAATCAATTTAATTTTTTTCATCCATTTATATATTCATTTAATTATTTATTTATTTATTGTCGACGGCAGATTGTTTTTTCTGTATTAATAGGCTTTTTTAATAATGATTTCTTTTCAGGCTGGTCCGAAATGTCAGTCAAAAAACAAAATTAGGATTCACTACGAGGCGGAGAGACCTCTCCGTGTTGTAGATGGCCGTTTCTTAATTGGCAAGTTTCGCGTTCACAGCGACAAACATGGAGATGGCCTGAGCTACGGATTTTATGACACTGATCCAGAAACCGGGAAGATCGCCGGACGAGAAGTTCTTACCTTTACGCGAAGAAAATAACCATTAAGAAGAGGAAATTTGTTGAGAGCAAAATGGAAAACATAATCAGGTTATACATATTATTATGCTCTCTATAAAAGATATTTTTCCTAAGATAACAAATGTCAGCAATAACTGATCACAATGGATGCAGGTGTTGTCAAGTTGAAAAAAGGAATAAATATGACATAATATCCTTCGCGTTAAATTTTATTTTTCCAAAACAGAGGCAGCAAAATGGTACTAATGCAAATTCAAAGCATTGTACTGCTTCATTGTTTGCATTGAACCAAATGATACAAAATCACCAAATTCAACCCAACCATAATTTTAAAATGAATCCAAATTAAGCATTACCCTACCAAGTCGACAATAGCGTTTAAACATGTCGACTCGGTTTTGGGAATGCATTAACATTTCACACTTTCTTTGGGAACGTTATCACCTCTCGTCCATTGATGTCTCCGGTGGCCATGTTGATCTCAAAGATGCCATAGGACTGGCCGTCGCCAAACTGCTCGCTGTGGACGTCCAAACCGAAAACAACGTAACGTCCACCCGCCACTCTCACCGGGGCTTGGTCCTGATATGTCATTATTATTTTACGGTCATTGTGATCTGGGGTACGTGTCTGAAATATACAGATACCACCAAAGATTTTGTATTAGTTTTTGATATAAGCAGTACGCTTTTTAAATGGTTTCATAGAATAATAATAATTATTATTATTACTATTATTATTATGTATTAAAGTATTGAGCGCTACCTGTTAACATCAGTTACATTTTTTGATTCACATATGTAAGTAAAAACACATTCATGGATGATACTTTGTAACATAATTACTTCATGGCATGGTGCTTTTGATAAAGAGGAGATAACCCAATTATCTGCTCAACTTTTTTTTTGTGGATCCAATGTTACAAGTACATCCCAATAAAAAAACAATCTAATTTTTTTACAATGGAAGCTTCCTAGCTCTCCGTATTTCATGCAATTTTGGGGTTCCGTAGTTTGCCTAAGCGCTAGCGGACCTCCACTCTCCGGAGTAAAACCAGAATCGCTTGATTGCATTTAAAATTAGACCCTTTATTACATATTCCAGGTAGATATATCAGCATGCAGTTTCAAAGTACTGGTTTATCAGCAGTGCTAATTGTTTGGAAGCGGACGGTGATAAAAACAGTTGATTGCAGCATACAAAATTTTGGGCTCCCGTGTACGTTACCTGTATTATGTATTCCCCGCTAGTCATGGCGGCATACGATTCCAAAACACCGGTATATCTTCGGCCGTTCAAGGTGACGGGCTGAAAAACCTGCACCACCCAGCCCGAATGTGAGAGAGGAGCATTCTCGTAAAGCCTGCTTGTTTTTCGTTTTGATTCTGAAATATAATTTTCAAGAATTCAGTATATTACTCTTGTATGAAATAAGATTTCTAAAGGTCAATTCACCTGGTATGCCAGGTGCCATGACTATGTTAGATCTAACTTCTGATAGGTAATTCGGATCTCCACCGCCAACCTAAGGATAAGCTATTTTTTGAATAACTAATTCAAGAGATGGCAACGCAGTACCTATCGGTCTAAGTATTCAAAACAACAACATGGAACCAAAACGAATCAGTACCCAATATCATTCTGTACTTTCCATCCGGAGCAAACGTGAAAGGATGAAACATCATTTTCCCTCCTTCTAACGGCACTCTTCCGTCCAAAATATCTGCATCAGTGACAGAAGACAAGTCCAGGCCATATTCGGTTTCCAGGAACTGAACAGCGCGTCTTCCTTCCAATATGATACTCTGGTTGCTGAAAGCGAAGTACATGCAGCTATAACAAAATTCCATACAGTGTAAACCATTCGAATTAAAAGCTCGTAAGAAAGCGTCCATGACACGCCAATAGAAGGCAGTGAATAAGAAATTATTTTGAACGGACAGCCATTTATTTCTCTTATTTTAACCAACAGCTGAGCCAAGTTTCATCAACACTGGGACATATGGATTACAGTTTCCACTGGATAAAAATTGTTATCCTATGGACGTTTGTCTTGTGGGAAAATAATGTTTTTTAAACACTAGATTTTTATTTTAGTTTCTGAAATTGCTTTCCAGTGGATAAAAATGGCTGCTATCCTCAGAATAACTGTTTAGAGAAAAAACAATTTTATCCAATGGATAGTATTATCCACAGGATAGTGCCATCCATTGTTGATGAAACTGGACCCTGATCTTTCTCTTTCATGAACGATAATCTTTACGCAAAGAAGACGCGATTGAAATTTCCCACAGCACACACATGTATGCTTACTCATATCTTCCCGCGCGTCTGTGATGTGCCAAAAGTCTTTCCAGATTCTGTTCATATCCTCTGAAGACGCCGTCCATGGCGAGTACGAAGGTATGGCTATATAGACCAAACTCGATTTCATCAGATTGATTCTGGTCGGGTTTCTTTCCCGAGGGCAATTGACTGTGTGCTAGACCCATCTGGCGTTTATGGTCATTCTGGGGTTCCACTCCGGTTATTAGAAACAGACAAAGCCAAATGCTGAAAAACAAAGCCGGAACTTGTTTCAAATGATAAATTATATGGCACTTCGTTTTTGTTTACCGTTGGAGATGGGCTTGAGGAAGGATGACAAATACGAGAATCGCACACAAATAAAGCTCTCTCCTTTTTGGTGAACAAGTGTCGCATACCCAACCGGTATCCACGTCTTAGTTACAACGCAACAGGATTTCCGAAATTTAAAATATATGTTAAGTCCTTGTCCATCAAATTTTCTGATTCTGAAACTTCATGTCATGCCTCAGTGAGCACAGTGCTCTTACCTCTCTCTCTCTCTCTCTCTCTCTCCCTCTCTCTCTCTCTCTCTCTCATACATTCATAACTGTATCTGAACTCAAAAACAAAGCCAAAACACAAAATTCCCCTCATTTCACTTACCTATATGTACACACCATATTTAGTTCGAAGTGTTTTGCAAAACAAGATTTTCCGTCGCTTGCTGATGAAATACTGAAAGTATGCTGCAATGAATTTTAAAGAGGGATGGTATCTGAAAGCGTATTTAGGACAGACCTTATCAGTTTTTTAAAGCAGCCCACGTTATGGTGGTTACATTATTCTTTTGTTTGAATTTCTTTTGCATTTATTTTTATGCGTGAACAGTTTCAGTGTTTTTGTTTAAATTGCTGGAAAAATTAAAAAAACTACATAGCTACAAAATTGTAAGATATAGCTCAACATATCAGATTATTACCCGCTTTTGTGTATGGCCAATTTTCTTTTTTCGTAAAGAAATTAGCCGCTTCTATTATAAACAGAGTGTGTCACTTTTTTAAAGCAGCCGTTTGAAAATGATGATGGTGGTAACATTATTCATGACACCGTTCATCTTTTGTTTGAATTTCTTTTGCTTTTGGAGCTTTCGTTAATTTTCTGCGTTTCTGCGTTACGGATTTGTTTTAAATGCTGGTTAAAATTATGAGACCCATATAGCTGCAAAATTGTCATATAAAGTTTAACATATCAGATCATTGCCCGTTTATGTGTATATGAAGCTTAAATTATATATATATTTTTGTATAATAGGAAACTTATATATACATGTATGATAATGATGTAATAGAGTGATAACTACTTACGTTACGAAAATTCTTTATTTTTGTCATTTATATTTTATAAAAACAACGAATCAGTTTATAAAAGCACAAATGAGAGACATGTTTCTCCTACTGTCAAATGTCTGGTAGTCTGTTATTTTTCTGATATCAGGGGCCTCGAAGTAATATACATGATACAGACTACTAGCGCACCCTGTGGTCAGAGACTAGCCATGTGCATTTGTACAGTTACGCGACAGGTAGGCCTATAACGTGCCACATGTGTTTATTGGCAGCTTTCTCAACACATGATACCACATACAATATTACTTGTAGAAGTAAGCCCTCGTATAACAAGGATAAGCCTTTGCAGATGAACAGTATGTTTATTTCCTGATCCATTGTTATATTCATGTTACATGAAAATATGAAGCAGACGAAACATTGTCTGGAAAACTTAATTTTTATAGATATTTACTAAACAAAACTGTATTTGTTTATATCAGTTTCATATATTAAAACACAAGTCATCGGTATATACAGTAACGTGTGCCTTTGTGAGGTTGTGATTGTGTTAGTGTGTTCGTCTCTTTCCGTTTGTGTTCGAGTATGTCCGTTTATCTATATAATACGCCCTTTCTCGCCCTTTCTGCCCTTTCTCAGTCGGCGGCACTTTCGCTTTCTCACGTGTGCAACATACACTTATAGATCTGGTGAACAAACCATAAGTTTATTCCAAACGCACGATCTGAAGTCATACACAAGTCACAGGTAAAACTGATACAGGTATATCTGGATATGTTTTCTTCAATGTTCATACAGGAGTGTATTCATCAACTTTTTACTTTTTGTACGGATCCTGAGGTCGAAAGAGCATTGTGTGTAGTATTCTGCACATAAATATGCATGTTTTATCAAGAGGGGGTAAGTAGAGATGCACCTCTGACGTCATACGCTAAATGACATATTGTCTACTCATGTTCTAGGTTACACAGTAACAATAGAAATAACAATTTTCTTGATCACTATAATTTATTTTGGAAGTTCAGAACACGATAAACGTATATACTAGAACTAGTTTTAAACCTTAATATATGACATTTCAGTTGATACAATGAGTCATGATTTGAAGGACCAGTTTCTGAGGCCGGTGACATAAAAGAAAACATTGTGCAATCTTATTCACTTCAATTGCATTATTAAATCGCACAGAATCACAAGCTTTAATTTCTTTGATAAATGTGAAATGTCACTTTTTAAAGAGACTTGTTTTCAAGAAATGATGATTACACTTTCCTTGGGAACGTTATCACCTCGCGTCCATTGACGTCTCCGGTGGCCATGTTGGTCTCAAAGATGCCATAGGACTGGCCGTCGCCGAACTGCTTGCTGTGGACATCCAGACTGATTACAACATAACGTCCACCGCCTGCCGTTGTGACTGGGTACTGGGCCTCGTACGTTATGACCACTGTGCCGTTGTGGTGGTCTGGGAAACCAGTCTGGAATACAGTTACGAAAATGTATGACTTGAAGTTCCAAATCTTGTCCTCATTATTGCTGATCTGTAGTGCTTTTTCAGCCAATAAAATCAATGTGTAGAAAAGAAATCTGATTTTTTCGCTTTCATTCTTTTTGTATGACTATACCAGTTAATTATTGAAGAACAGCATTACTAGTTCGCCTCTACACTACGGACTTAATAAGTTTTTAATAGACCCTAACTTAAATTAAAGTGTGCTCAAATGGTTTCAACGAAAACGCCATCTACAGTCCCACTGAATGTCTGTACCTGTGCTACATATTCTCCAACAGACATGGCTGCATACGGTTCCAAAGTACCGGTAAACCTTGGACCGTTCAAGGTGACCGGCTCAAAAACCTCCACCACCCAGCCTGAATGTGAGATAGGAACATTCTGGTGCAGCCTGCTCCAGTGTCTGTATGTCTCTGAAACAGTAAAAAGTAAAATGCAAAGTACTGTTCTTGTTTAGGTTTCCATTTTGTTAATGTCTCTTTCTGTTTTTTACTAAACTTTTTGATTGTTTTCTACGGTTCTTATCTATTTAAAACAATAATAAGAATTTTCATGGAGTATTGATAAACCGAACTATACCCGCTATCATTCTGTACTTTCCAGCAGGGTCGAACGTGAAAGGATGAAACAACATTTTGCCGCCTTCTAAAGGCACTCTTCCGTCTAAGAGATCTTCATCAGTGACAGAAGACAAATCCAGACCAAATTCATTTCCCAGGAACTTAGCAGCGCGTCTTCCTTCCACGATTATGGTTTGGTTACTGATAAATCAAATTTGTATACATATAACAACCTACAAACACAGTTGGTTTTAACTTTACGCTTAAAGATAAAGAAAATTCTTTTCAACCTGAAATCGGATTTTGAATATCCATAACCAATGCATGATAAGACTTTTCCAATGTACTTACTCCATTCTTCCCGCGCATTTGTGATGTTTTAAAAGTCTGCCCAAATCCTGTTCATAGCCTCGAAAGATCCCGTCCATTACCAGCACGAAGGTGTGTTCGTACGTCCCCAACTCCACCCCATCCAATCCACACTGGTTTGGTTTCCGACCCATGATTTGGTACCAGTGGCTCCACCTCCACCAGTAGCCTGCCACAGCTTGCAGTCCACATATTAGCAGCAAGCAGGTCGAGATTTTTCTGGAAAGCAAAGATTGAGTGTTCCACTATCATTACTATCTACTCTCTTTCTCTCTCTCTCTCTCTCTCTTGTAAATACTCACGTACATACGCACATACATAAACATACGCATACCAATTGTCTGTAATCTCTCTCTCTCTCCCTCTTGTTCAGCCAACGTACTCGTACAAATATTGCTAAATTCAATCGCATTTTCATCATCTACTTACATCTGCATCGTGCTCTTTACATGTAAACAGTGTGATATATACAGGGCTACCAAATTGGTGTTTATTGCCATTTTATGCTTGACAGAATTAACGATTAACTGCAACTTGCGGTGCAATAAAGTATACTATCAACCTTACTCATAGTAACGCACTTAGTAAGTCGTATCATAGCTTCTCTACGTAACAAATACTCCTTTAATGAAGATATATCCCCAGTTGTGAATCGCCAATGAGCTTTAGTTTACAACTTATTCATTGGTCTTTCATATTTATGTCGTCGCGGTCTGTTGGATTTAAGAAATGAGTTCCAAATACACGCAACTTTTTTTGGTCGAGTGCATATACAAAATGTATCATAAAATACTATCGATGTATTATAATATAATATATGTATCTGTGGTTGTTCTAGTTTTAATTTTAACTATGTGGATTTCTAAACTGTATAAAATGAGGTAACATGTCGTGTGAATAAATACTACATCCTCTACTAATTTACGCACGACCATCGCGGGTACATATAACAGTAGGGCCTACATGTTAAACCTTACAGAATATATACGAGTTTGTTAGATGTGGCAGTGAAAGTAACAGAGAGTAAAGAATCCACCCACGCTCTCAATTTAATGAATTATGGCACTAGAATTAATTGTATACGATGGCAGACGATAGGGGGCGTCGGTAACAAAATTCTATTAGCCCCAGTCCCAACGTTGTCTGTGCTTGTTACTAGAACCGCCAGATTTTAGATAAATATTTAAATATAGCAAAACAGAATCCATTTTTATCTCTGGGTGCTTTGTTTGATGTTCACCCAGGAGTAAACTCGTGAATGTTAAATCAATGTGATGATGTCTGGAAGAGTTTTGTATGTGCTTCACGTGCTGGATGGTAAATGTACAAATGTACACGCCTGGGGGTGAATCAGATCACAAATGCATTCTGTCACGAAGTTAAGCTTTATTTAAAACAATAAAAGATACTGATTGACGATAACAGTTTATTTTGCCAGGTCAAGACCCTGCAGACTTATCTGTCAATTTTAAGTCTACGCGACACTCATATTGATACAGCTAGTTTCGTTACGAAGACAACTCGCACATTGTGCAATATTTTTTTATTTCCCTTGACTTACAAAATAACATACCATCACCAACTTAAATCTATTTATAATTAAAAGAATGACAACGAGTGTATGAAATGCAAAATTATATAATTATTTAACATTTAACTGCTCGTTTTCAAGAAATGGTGATATTACACTTTCTTTGGGAACGTTATCACCTCTCGTCCATTGACTTCTCCGGTGGCCATGTTGGTCTCAAAGATACCATAGGACTGGCCGTCGCCAAACTGCTCACTGTTGACGTCCAAACCGAAAACAACGTAACGTCCACCCGCCACTGTCACTGGGACTTGTGCCTCGTACGAAATGACTATTTTGCCGTCGTTGTGGTCCGGGAAAGCAGTCTGAAATTTTAAAAAAATGCTAGGAAATTAGGCCTACTAACGTAATGTTGGTTTGGTGGTGACACCCATTGGTGATAATCATTCATCACTGACAGTGGTTTGTAATAAAATTTAACTTAAGAATTAAAATACAGTATTTGATGAGGAATCAGAAACTTATTTTTCTTATTGGACAAGTAGATGTACTTGGTTCACAATGTTTCCGCAGTTTACTTCTGCCCAGTAGAACTCCGTTCACCGGAAGGTAATGAAAATCGCTTGATTGCAGTATACAAAATTGTAGACTACTCTGTACGTTACCTGTATTACGTACTCCCCGGCAGACATGGCGGCATACGGTTGCAAAGTACCGGAAAACCTTGGACCATTCAATGTGACCGGCTCAAAAACCTCGACTACCCAACCCGAATGTGAAATGGGGGCATTCTTGAAAAGCCTTGCTCCTTCTCTTTTTGTTTCTGAAATATGATAAAAAAAGCAAAATATATTCTGTTGAACAATTCTTAAAACCAAAAATACCGAGTACTATAAATTTTCTAGCTCCGCGTTTTAGATAGAAAACTCATGGTGAGTATACTTATGAGGGCAATGATTAGGTAATTTTCTACGGAAAATCATTTTTAGAATAATTAATCCATATATTTTTACGCATGAAGAACTCGTGGTCAAAATAAAATTAAACATATAGAACAGGATGATCTAACCAGAATGGACCAATACCTGATATTACTCTGTACTTTCCAGCCGGATCAAACGTGAATGGGTGAAACAACATTTTCCCTCCTTCTAGCGGCACTTTTCCGTCCAAAATATCTGCATCAGTGACAGAAGACAAATCCAGGCCGAATTCGGTTTCAAGGAACTGAATAGCACGTCTTCCTTCCAAAATAATGCTTTGGTTACTGAAAATGAAATGGAGATATAATATTCAATTTCTGTTTTTGGTGCTCGATTATGTGAAATTATCCGCATCGTAATTTTCATACTGAATATAATACCTTAGCCACTCAAAACAATGATTGCCCTTACTTATCTAGATTGTATTTGATAGAGATCAACGAAATAATGCCCCCTTACATTGTCAGAAACAAAGAATACATTTTCACAGATAACACTCCTACTTAAGTATTTAACCTGCGTTGAAACAGGCGGTCTTGTAAGTGAATAGACCAATAAAAGTTCAGTTGCCCCTCCCCCGCTTCTTTTGGTCACGTTTTGTACGGTCTTATATAGTCCATTAAACTATAACCTATTGTGAACTATTTTGGATTACTGAAAGTAACGTCAATTAGCACGCTTACTCTGCTCTTCCCGCGCACTGGTGGTGCTTCAAAAACCTGTCAATATTCTGTTCATAGCCTCGGAAGATTCCGTCCATGACTAGGGTGAAGGTGCGGTCGTACACGCCCAACTCCTGTTCGCCTAGACCACATTGCTCTGGCCCCCGGTTTAAAACTTTTAAGAAAGGCTGGAAGAAATCCGTACACCAGAAGCCAGCCGCAACCTGCAACCCGCAGGCAAGAAGCAAGTAACCCAAGGCGCTGAAATGAAAAGTTGGAGACTCGGTTAATCGTCTATTTCTCTCTCTCTCTCTCTCTCTCTCTCTCTCTCTCTCTGATTTCGATACTGGACTCAAGGGTGCATAAGCAAAAATTAATATAGGCTATTCAACACGTTTTTTATCGTTTACTTACTTGCACGTCCGCATTCTGCGTGAACACAACATTCAATACAATATATAGAATACAGCGCTGCCTGGCAGACAACGAGTTTATATATAGACATCTCGTCATTTCATGACAGAAAACCATAAAGAGATCATTTATCGTTTAGGTTAAATGTACAGTGCACGATTGTCCTGTTTCGTTCTTAATCATGTCGAACGAACTTGATATACACAATCAAGAACCAGATTGAGAAAGATTCTCAAATTCGAATCTGTATTTAATCATTGTGTCTCGTGCATGAAATTCTTAAGGTCGAGCACGCGTTTGGACAATTATTCGTGCACACTGCGGCGGGTTTTTTAAAAGAATGCAGCCATTCTATTATGGACGGCCGCGATGGACACAAGTACATACTTAAAGTACAATTAGAGCAGATTACCCCTCTTAAAATTTCAATCTGGTTGATCAATCAGGTATATTATGTTTGGAGACAGGTGAAAAATGCAGACCGATTGCTGCAAAGGACATTTTTTTGGAAATTGGACGTTTGGATTATTCGGTTGCTATTTGGGGATCCAGATTGTGACTTTTTGCTTTTTCATAACAGCCAGAACTGAGTCCGCATTTTACTTTTGGAAAACGACACACCTATTGGAAATGTGTATAATATTCAAATCAAATTAAATCAGCCTTATGTTGGAGAAGTGCATACAATGTATATGCTGGCAAATGGAAACCTCTGGAGGCTCTAGAATATCAATAAAGATTCGGTGGGCTAATATGTCTTCCCAGAAAACTTGCCCTTAATACATGTACCCCCACCCACCCACCCACCCACATTTTAAGCAATTGAATCTTTGTTTTCAGTTAATATTTAATTACATTATTTTAATCCGTTTAACATTGCCTTGTAAATGTTATTATCTTCCTCGTATTGAGTATCCCAGTGACTCCATTTGCTAAAAAGTTTCTCGTGTAATAATTTAACAGAACAGAAATATATTATCATTCCACAGTATTATATATCAGGGAAGAAATAAGAAAGCGACACCTTGACTCCAGTAATTTATCCATCTCTATTTTTCCTTATCCGGAACAAATTTAAATTAATGCAGTGATCACACTGATAATAAAATAATGCACCCATATTAGATATATCTGAAGATACCACTCGGATTCAACTTACAGATTGCTTTGTTTTGCGAGATCATGGTGACCTTGTTTATATGTAGTTTTGACCATTTAATTGCCCATTATCATGTCCATTCGAAAATGCTGATCTTTCAAGGTCACGGTGACCTTGTGTGCATGCAGTTTAGACCATTTAATTGTCCATTGTCGTGTCCATTCCAAAATACAGAACTTATAAGTTATCTTTTACTTTCAAGGCAGGGCGTTTTTCCGTAGCCTGTTTAATACATGTACATGGATAGGAATGGCCATTCTGATTTAATTCTGTGTGATGCACTGCTGCATCCAGAGGGGTGGGACACAAGGAAATATCCCTAGGGGGTGGGACACAAGGAAATATCCCTAGGGGGTGGGACACAAGGAAATATCCCTAGGGAATGGGACACAAGGAAATATTCCTAGAGGGTGGGACACAAGGAAATATCCCTAGGGGGTGGGACACAAGGAAATATCCCTAGAGGGTGGGACACAAGGAAATATCCCTAGAGGGTGGGACACAAGGAAATATCCCTAGGCGATGGGACACAAGAAAAAATGAATAAGAATATCGAATAGTAGACGGGGACAATTTTAGTGCAGTGTGTTGGGCACAAGAATAGTGATACGTTTTATTATATGGTGATTTACTTGTTATACATGTACTTTTTGTCTTTCTTTCTTTGGCCGGGGAAGGATAGGTGGGTGGTATATTGGGGGGCGGGGGGGGGGGGGGGGCTCTGATGTTAAGGAGGGGGGGGGGAGTCGTGCTTCCACCATTGTGATACATGGAGGGGATAAAAATCATTCCATGATGGATATTGTTTGAAGACGTCGCGCATTTAGGCCTATCATAAAACACCACATTGCAGTGACACAATGATGACGTAGACGACAAAAGTAAACTGTTGGTTAAAATGTTTGCATCCTTTTCAAATAAGCCAAAAAATACAAATAAACTTAATTCTGGCATATTCACAAACATTTTCTTTCTCCCCAATTAAACAATATGTGAAAAAGAGAACGAACCTCTTAAAAAGGCCAGCGCAGCCAGCCTCGATTGCAGCTGTTGTCACAACTATCGCATTCCTGTTTTTCTTTAATGTAAAATCGATATCTATTAAACAGCACTGATTTTATATTGGCGCTTCCTTTAAGCTATTCGATTTTGTATCGGGAAGTCGTAAGTTTTATTGAATTTGTCATCATTTGCGTGATCCATAGCTCATTATGCACCCTGTTGAAGTGCGTACATATTGCGTGCGCGCGGGTCTTTGTGCAAGCGCACGTGCGACGTAAAAAAAAAAAACGGAATGTGTTGTGATTAAATAAGTAGCGTTTCGTACACGATATAATTCCGCACTGTGCTATTTCTCTGTGGCGAATAATCGGTAGTTGGTATCATACACTAAGTATCATAACACAATATCGATCAAGGCAACATAACAAGCGATACGAGAAATGACTCTTGTTCTTCTATTTATTCAGCTGAATGGCACAAACAGATATGATCAATAGTTGTAACCCCCAAACATCCCATTAAGAAAGCGCTTTCCTCGGTCTCTACACACGCGAGAAATGAAACTAATATAAATCAATAAAAAAATAATACTCATGCATATTACAGGGGGGAGGAACGTAGAAAACAATTGATAGAATCAATCCAGCATTTCCCAAAGGTCCTTATGATTACCAGTTCAAAAGATACATGATAATACACGTTTATCAATTGTTGATGCTAGCAAGTTATGTGAGAGAAAGGAAATATGTGGGAAGAAAAGAGTGAAAAAAGATAAATAATGGATGAAAATAAGTAAATGAATAGATATATAGATGCATAGATCTATAAATAATAAATAATTTGGGGAACAAAATTCGATTATAAAATGGTAAGATGTAACATTCAGTGATAAATTTCTTTGATAACTTGGGGCTATTCAGCACATGATAAAATAAATAAATAAATAAATAAATAAATAAATAAATAAATAAATAAATAAATAAATAAATTTTAGAAAGAAAAAAGAAAGTAAACAAAATCAGCACTTCACACTTTCTGGTTCTGGTATTAGTAATAGTCACCAATAATCACCTCCTATTCAACTGGTATGTTAAATGTGGAACCCCACTTAATGTGCTCTACTAACAGTATAATGCGCAAATTAAAGAACACAGGCATTTTCCCTCAGTACGCACACTTGGCTATAATGGCATGGACACTTGTGTCCATTAAGCGGTAACTACGGGTTTATAGCCTGAATCAACAAGTGCGCCGCAGTTATCGTATTATTATAACAATGTCCGAACTTCTCTTAGCCTTGTAGGTAAACATTTCTGTGTAGCCCCAAATGCAGACAGAATTTAAACATTAACAAATGAGTATATATAGAATCCCCCATACATCGGATTAAATCAACAAAGGGGTTTCTATTTGAGACCGCTCGACGAAGTGAAAAGGCAAAGGAATGTTTTGATTGAAATCTAATGTTACCCAGTGGTCCAAAATTATACAACTGGAAAAGTTGGTTGAAATGGCAGTTATTTCGCTGAAAGTCGTTCTCTGATTAAGTATGACGCAAGTTTTCATTGATCAACATTTGATCGATCAATCAGAATAAAGAAATCAACAAATATCGTTCAGTTATGAAGGAAATTGATAAATATGAATGTCTCAAAACTTTCTCCCCAGCGTGCTTTTCTGTTTATTGATGCTTGGTAACAGTATACGCACGCATGCGCGTAGATCGGGAAGAAAGGTTCATTTTACACACATGAGAGTAGGAAATCAGTCGATGTGTGTACTCACGAGTGGGACTGAACGATTGCAAGGAAAATCAAGTGAATCAACAATCCGTAGAAGAATCCAGGAGTTTTATTTGCGGAGAGAAACACTTGGAACTCATGTGTGGGATATAGGTAAGTTGATTAATTTGTTGATTGATATAAATTAATGATACTTCGATAATCCCACATGTCTGAGAGAGAGAGAGAGAGAGAGGACTGCCCAATGGGTATAACAGCTTCTATGGGGTATGGTGGGTGTGCAAATAGAAAAGCCAAATCATATATTCTACGTTCCAACAAGACACAGTTAACCAATACCATACACTAGCTCCGTTCGACTTACGCTCGTTTTATTCATTATAAACAGTCCTTATCGTTTACATTATGGGCAGCGTGCTGTGAATATGCTTAGGTCCTTTGTTTCCTGGTATCATTAAAAAATCATGAGTCGGGTGTGTGCCGATGACCTTTCATATTTGGCGAAATATTTCACAGATGTTTTATTTCACCCGCGTGAGAAAGTGTCAAAAGCAAAAAGAAGCTGGTCAGGAACTAACGGGGATAAACGCTGAATTTTAAAATCGAAAAGATTCAATAATTTGTCTCACAAATGGTATTATAATCAAGCAAAGAATAGTGTGCACGACTTCAGTTCTCAAAAAAATCTGGTTCCCGTAAGTGCTCTACGCAGCCCGTGCCAATAACAAGTAAGTATACATTACAAGGCAAATGAAATCCGCCGGCAAAGTCTGTAGTCGAACATCAATGATTCTCCCACACTAAAAGCACCAAAAACACTAAATGTTTTCCTTTGAGGCCTAGGTTGGCATATCAGCTGTCCGCCACATGATCAGACAACTTAAACCCTTTTTTCTATTAAAATCGGTTTTCTTTGGGAAAAAAGGCGTTAACAAATAACTGCTGTCCGTTTTAATAAAAGGTTTGCCCGAAGAACGAGAGAGAGAGAGAGAGAGAGAGAGAGAGAGAGAGAGAGAGAGAGAGAGAAAATGACGTTTCCAAGGTAACCCACATACATGTAAACAACATAATCCCGAATGTGAAACTAATTTTCAAAGTAAATATCTGAACAAAGCGTCATGTATATTG